GTGATTTATACTTTGAAAATGGCCACTTAAACGTTAGTAAATCCTCTATTCTTCATATGTGGTTTTATTCGCCAGAGGAACTTGCTATCGACTTCTAATGGAACTAAAGAGAAGATCCTCATCTCTAGTTAGATGTTAGAGAAAACACGGTGCCGTTAGTTTCCAAGTCATTACCAAACTTTCAGAACTGTATTGCCACACCTCTTAATCAACATTGGCCAGAATAATACTTACCAACTGGTACAGGCAAGTTGATCCCGGCCTGGGCACGTTCTTGAGATATGTAACCAATAGGGTCGTGAGTTCGTCCGAATACATCCAGCATCCCTCTATTTGATGGGTAGTTCAATGCACCATTCATTGAATTACTAGACCTGAAAAAATATATGTGGTTCAAATATCAGAGGTTTTGTATTAACTAGCAGCAAAAATTATGATAATGAAGATTAAACCTGACCAATGACGTTACCTGTCATATACACTGCCTGGAACCATTGCCTCTCTTGCATCAAACATTGATGTAGTCATAAAGTGGGAACCGGGATTATCAGAATTCACCAATTTCTTTGGCTTTGCAAACTGGATCAATGACTCCTTCAAATTGGACAACGGGCCTTCACATAGCACCTTTTGTTCTTTGTAGAAAGACAACAAGTGATTCCACAGTGGCTGTTTCGATAGAACTTTGGGATTGCCTACAACAAAAAAACAATTCAGAAATAATTCCATAACAAATAATAGCAAAAAGAGTTCCTTATATTTTTTCGTTCCAAATGACCAGGCTTCACTTAACACCAGTTTTTAGCCGCTCCATCTTATAGAATATGATGCTCCACATGATAAGCATGGAGGATTTTGACCCGGTAAAAGCTGCACATCGCGCTGAACCATTTTTTTATATAGCAACGTCAACGTTTTGGTGCGATAATGTAAAGATTATGTCAAAATTTCTAAAAAACTTTATATTTGGGGTTTAAATCCAGTGCACATCTTATTATTGCGACCCATGTTTTTCCACAGTTCCTAAAAAAAGAAAAAGATCCTTACCTACAATGATAATTCCATATTTAGCTCTGGTCAAGGCGACGTTCAATCGCCTAGGATCGTTCAGGAAACCAATTCCTTGATGCTCATTGGACCTGACACAAGACATAATGATGATATCCTTCTCTCTTCCTTGGAAAGCGTCCACGCTGGCGATTTCTATTTCTTGATACAACTTTCCATGAAGACTGCCTTGGTATTGCATGTATTGGACTAGGTAGGCTCTTTGGCCTTCATATGGAGTTATAACGCCTATCTGCTCAGGTTTGACTCCAGAACGCAGAAATCTGTAACCAGAAATAAACATATTGTGTTCCAAAAATGTTTATTCTCTTGAAATCACGTCAATATTCTCTAAACCATCAGGTTGAAATATTCTGTAGCCCAATGATGCTGAAGCATATTTCAAATTAGTAAAAGGTGGGTTGACATTTTTTGTGAGGTTTCCTTAAGCATAAGTCTATTCCAAACAATATGCAAATGATTAAATACAAGCCTCAATTTATTGGTGAAATTGAGCCGCAACGATGCTAAAGATTAATGATAATTTTAGTCGAAGAACGATCTTTCGTAACAACAGCTGAGGTGTGGGCGTTCTTAAATAAGATGAAAGTCAGCTCTTAAACATACCTAGTAGCAATTTTCTCTACATTTGATGCTTCTGTCCTATTCAGGTAACTAGTTCCAGAACCCGCAATTTCTTCTTGTCCCTGAGTGACTAAGAAAAACATTGGCCTGTCATTTATTGGCCATGGGAAGTCAACCTTAGTAAGCCTCCTCTCTTCAGAACTGACGCCATTTTGTAAGCTACCCTCATAGAAAAAGTTGGACGGAAATCTGCAAAGAAATAACCAGGATTCTTCACCAAGGATGCAAAATATATTTTCTAAATTTGACAGGATTTGGAACAGAGTTGAAGTCAATGCAGAGTTTATAGTCTTATGTTTAGCTATTGAAAAGTATTGCATACTTCAAAATATGTTGTTCAACATTTCTGGTG